TTCCAGGTGTTCTCAAGGGCAAGGATATAAGCAAGCAGAGCCTTTGGAAGATTATCTGAATCTTGAGGTGCAGGAAAGTGGGAATATGTCCAAGTCCATAGAAATGTATTTTTTTTCTAAGGCTAGGCTCACACAGGACATCAGTAACCTGATCTTGAACACAGCTTTTTCTTGATGTTACATGACAATGAGACTGGGTAAAAATTCTCACTAGGGCCCTACAGCAAAAACTGGATGCCCTAAAGCACAGGATTTGATCACCCCTATTTTAGCACAAAACTTCAAATGTTGTTTCACTTTAAAATTCTCTTAAATCCAGATACCGTGCTTAACTGGAAGGAGAGAGAGAATTTCAACAGCTGACATACACTGTTGTCTAGGGGAATTTACCCCTCATTCATTTTAACTTTTTGAGGTAACATCTTGATTCAAGAATCTTTATTTAATTTTTTTTTTATAAAATAAATTAAGTTTTCCCAGCTTCTGCCCCCAAATGATAGATATTTGTATCGTATAATGCATTTCCAAATCATTATTTTTCTGGACACTGGAATCTGAAATGTCCTTCTCTATTTTTTTCCTTCTGTTTATTAAAATCCTGCTCCAACTCTAAACCTCATTTTAAATACCCTTGTGAAGCTGGCTCTCACGTCAGCAGCTCTTGCTGATCTCTTCTTTTAATCTCTTATAGTAAGGATGCTCTGCCTCACAATTGGACAATTAATTATTATATGATATTTTTGCAAGCTGAAATCTCTTCATGTCTACCCTGCATATGTTTTAGCTTCATATGTCAGCACTGATTGGAAGCTTCTGAATGGCAAGAGACTTGTTTTCTCAACATGCAATCTGTGTAATTCTGTATTTATAGAAGGTACTCACACATTCAAGTTCATTTGTTGGTCTTTAATGACTTTGGTTTTGAGGAGGAGAGAAATGGAAAGAATCTTAAGAGACAGAAGTTGGCCTACAGAACAAAGGGTAAATTTAATGAAATCTGGATTATTTACATATAAATTTACTGTGAATTCTCCATGGCATTTGAAAAACTATACTGGTTTTCTCTCTCTTTTGCTTATTTTATACGCCCCCTTCTTCTGTTGTGACTTGGTGTGTGCTTTGGGAATGCAAATTATTTCTTTAACATTACACCAAAGCAAAATATAATTAGAAAGGGAGATCAAAGATACATCCTCTAATACATCTCAAGGCCAAATATGAATGATTTCTGAATGATCTTCTATTTTACCAAATTGTGTCACAGAGATAATCAGAAGTTATACTACCATATTTAGTTTTGCATTAACCCCTGCATTTTGAGAAGGATAGTGGGACTCTGTCCAATATAGTACAGATCTCCTTTAACATTGCAAGTGGACTCTGGTTTGGCAAATTAAGGCTTAGTCTTAAAGCTAAAGAACATGGGTGTACTTTGAAAGACATAAACAGAAATAAAAAGTGGAAAGTAATAAAAAGCATAGTACTGACTAGAATCTCCGGTTCTCAGGATACCCTCTGAAGTTCTGTGGATTGGCAAGCAGTGGAAGTATTCATAAAAATAGCAAGAAGGAAGGACCATTCTGTAGAACGGTCTGCCTGGCCTGGCATTCCTACCTTCAAATTGTGAAAACTAATGAAAGTAAACACAGTAGTTTGTCTTAAAGGAAAATACACTGTAGAGTGGCATATCCATGCTAATCTTTATATATGTAAAACACTATAATAAAGAGGAATAGCAAGACTCTTTTTTAAGACTTTTAATATATAATAGATGGGAGCAACCAAACAAACACAATCATGGCAAAAACACCCCACAATATTTGGAATTAGACCATACCTTATAAATCAATTACTACATTCTCCTTATTCGGCAGATGGAAAAAACCGTGCCCTAAGGAGGTGAAGTACTCCCAGTAACATAGTCAAGTCAACTTGGCTAAATATGACAAAACTTGAAAATGGATTATCCTATCACATCCAGCTAACCATTTCTTTCACTCTATCATCATGGAAAAAAGAAATTCAGATAGACACAGTTAGGATTGTGAGATGCATTTTCAGAGAGAAACACAGATGTACTTTTTTCGAAAAGCTTTGTAAAGTGTAGACATATACTGAATGGCTGGCTCAATAAACAGGATTATTTAGTGAAGAAAAATTAATTAGATGATGTGAAAATTAATGAAGGAGACCTCAAACCAAGATTGGAGTGAAGAGGGCCTGTAGGGGGGGCTCTCACATCCTACCACTCACTGCTGGTTACTCCAAACTGGAAGAGATATGTCTTGCATCTCCAATAAGAAAATGTTTTACATTCTCTTGCTATAGCAGAAGGAAAGCAGACTTTCTCCTCTCCCACCAATGAGAGGCTGTCACAACCCAGCCAATGAAAAGCCACTGCACTGGGAACTTCCACTTTCCTCCAATGGACTCTGTTTACAACTGCTCCTCCCAACTACACATTTTCTCTGTGGTTTTGCCATAGCATACATGTCTTGAATTATAATCCTCTGCTATTCCTGAATAAACCCATTTTTGCTAGTTAAATAACTTCTATTTTTAAGTCCTATAAGGCAGGGCATGTCTTTTTGTCTCAGAAAGGGTTTTCAGTGATACTGTTTTTCTCAGTAGGTTGATCAAAATGTCAGCAGATTTCAAAAATAGCCATAGGTGCCAATTTGAGGTAAATAGTAGTTCCCTGTTTCTATAGTAACTATAATCAAAGCCCCTCACATCCCGAGAAGAGATGCCAGACTGGAATGTAAAATGTTCAACACCCAGCTTGTACCTAATTTTGTGACCAGGTGATGCGAAGCCTCAGAGGATGAACTAGCTCTCAAACTCAAAGGTGTTGGCCCTGGAGCAAGCTGTGTGGCCAGCTTCCACCATCCTGGAGTTCCAGCAAAGAGTTCTATATTTTTTTCTGTCTCAGTGATTTGGAAAAGTTCAGTTACTATTAGTTTCATTTCATAATTCATTAGTTTGATTGAGTGTCACTAAGCCGAACATCTGGAGACAAATGAAAGGTACATAAATAACAATCACATATTTAGAAGATGGGAGAATAAAAATCTATTTTGGAACATAGAATGGTAATAAGCTGCTCTAGAAACTGTGTAAATGAAAGGAAGCCATCCATATTCCACTTTGTCATAAATCCAAGCAAAAGAGCTTCATAAGAAATACTTACAACATTCCAACTGGATATGTGTCTTACCTTGGTAACCTTTATAAGCATGTGAATATCTTCCTGAAATACATAAATACTTACTATGTATATACATAATAGGTAAATCCACACAATTCTATATTGCCCAAAATATTGTTAGTAAGATTTCTGTATCAGAATACTAATGAAGAAGGAAATTGTAAAATCCACCGACTGTTCCATCATTGTACTCTCCACAGTATTAACCAGAACTTAGAATCTTGTACACATTCAACTGGTAGGCGAGACCATGTTATTTCTTTCTTTGAAACCCTAAGATGGCTTCCAATTACACTTCAAATCAAATCCCTACTCCTTATTATCATCACAAAACCTTACTTCACCTGGCCTTGCCTATCTGATTTCAAGCAATTATCTCATTTTTTCCCTTCTTTAGACTTTTCACTTTTTTTCATTGAGCTCCAAAAGAACTTACTGGTATCTGAGGCCTTTCATACCTGCTGTTTTCTGCTTGGAACCCCAGAGTCCCGGGCATTTTATGCCTACTTCTTCCATGCTACTTTCTCAGAAAGACCTTTTGTGACCCTGTAATTTAAAAGAACTCAATTATTCCAGAAATTCTCCTTTGTTATCTCCCTGGGTTCTTATTTTCCCAAGATTTACCTTTTCTTTTTTCCTTCAGAATTTAGAAACTTTTTTTTTTTTACATATGTATATATATTTAATTTTGTGTCTGTATTCCCCAGCAGAATCGAAACTCCCTGACTATTATTTTTCCTATTCCCCTCCGTATCCTTAGTACATGGAAGAGTGTCAGACTCAGAGTAGGTACCACATAAATATAAAAGAAATAAATTAACTCACTGAAACATGGGACTAAGAAGAAGGGAAAGAGAAAATATCAATATCCCAGGGTATTCTATAACATCACAGTATATCTGGGTTTCTCTCTCTAGCTGGGGAGGAGCGGCAAGGGCTGATCCCTTTTTTCTACCACAAGGAAGAGAATCACAAGTTCTAGGGAAACAAATGATTGGTGGGTAACAAATGATTCCCACTGAGACCTTCTTAACTTTCATGAGAGCTGAGGAAAACCCACTGTTAGACTCTGGATGCTGCATTCCTTACTTAATTCTTTTTCCAAATGATTCTGTTTAAATTAGTATGAGATGGGGTAGAGATACCCAAGATTTCAACAAAATCCTCAGCTGTTTCTGATGTCCAAACATTTGGGAATCAAAGAAGGAAACTCCCAGTTCTTCTACCTTAGGTGACATAATATGCAATCTACCTTCACTGCTGCTCTGGTACAAAGAGATGCCCTTATTTAAGTCTCCATACGCAATCATTTATTGATGTGAATGAACCATGATGGGTAGAGGGGCAGGTTCCTCAGGTAAACAATACCTCTTGAATACCTTTTGCATTTTGTGATCATGTATTGAGTTTCATATGGTTTTAAAAAAGAAAGAAATTTCATGATGTTGATTCTACTTCAAGTAACTACATGATATTGTGAGGAAAAAGGCTTATAGGACACAATCAAATAACCACAATCAACTTGAATGCTGTACAAACCTAACCAATCCTTCCTTGCTATTTTCAGAATCATGACTCTGAGGCTGAATGGACTCTGAGTTAGAATGCTAGATGGTTGAGCCTACTTTAAAAGTTGTGCGTGTGTGTGCATGAGTTGTACATGGTGTAAGAGGGTTTGGATTTTAGCTATGGATCTATACACATTAAAAAGGTTAAACTTAGCCAGAGCCAGCAATCATTAAGTTCCAAGGTTCACGTATTATAATTGGTCTTCAGCAAATCATTCTAGTGCTCTTTACATGATTAAAGCTCAGGGTGGAAGCCAATGAAATTCTGAGAGTCAGAAGTGTGCTATGTTCATGGCAGGACTTCTGTTCACACCAGTAGAGCTTGCCTCTCTGGCTGGAGTTTGATAGTACTCTCTGCCACATTAAAAAATAATAATAATAATAATTCTAGTCCCTTGGCATAAACTTGTTCATCTCTAATAAAAAACAAACCTGAGTTTAATCATAAGGTGACCCAGGAAACCAATCAGAATATTTCTGAAATAGAATAATAACATGATAATTTGTGATGACGACAATTAAATTAATGTGGCCTGAAGTAGCCATAAAAAATTTGATATGCAGGTGACAGTGGTGTTGGTTTCTGAAAGGTTCTTAGCATTTGTATGGGTGAAAATGAGTGAAGAAAATCAAGTGAAAGAAGGAAAATGATAAACATGCTATTAATAGTGACAAAGGGATATAATACACCTTTTTGAAGACTTTCTTAAAATATTTATTCACTTACATTTTAGAAGCCCCTTGTTTACATTGCTGAATATCAGGGAAAGCAATGTAGAATCCAACCGGGACCTGATGGGCAGGATTCAAATCTTTACTGCTTTGTTTTGCTTTTTTAGTTTTATGGCCTTGGATACATTACTTAATTTCTCTGAAAAACATTTTTTAGTCTATAACATGGAGGTTATAAAACTTACCTCACAGAATTACTTAAAGATTTAAGTAAAATAAATAATATTGACCACAAAGCTCATTACGTGGCATATTCAGTAAATCGCATGTGCTTCTCCTTTACACTAAGGTGGGAGGGGTTGTGTCCTAGGTCACTGACCAAAGTGTAGCTAATGAAGATGTCATCACTCTATCAAGTTAGGGAACACCCATGGGGTGGAAGGCTTTTCATAGATTGTTCTTTGTCCCTGTTATTCACTGCGAGAATCCCATCCCAGTATTTAATCCCATTATATGTAATTTAAAAAGCGTTTAGTAAACACTGCTGTGGTCCAAGCTGTGTGTTCACAAAAGAGCAGATTACTTCCTCATCCTTAAAAAAAAAAAAAAAATCTCTCTGCTAGACAGAGAAGCCATTGCAAATCAACACCTAAAGCAGGCAGACAATAAGAGAATTAGAGAATGACCAAGTCTTTCAGTGAGTGGTGCAAATTTAAGGGGGAGAAAGAGAAATTTATGAGGCCAGACTGGTATGTGAAGAATCAAGAGCCAATGAATGAGGGGGGGGGGGAGAGAGAGAGAGAGAGAGAGAGAGAGAGAGAGAGAGAGAGAGACTGAGAGAAGAAACTGAAGTAATGGGCTGGAAATAAGTCCTAAAACAGGAAGTGAAAAGCTAAACCTGACTGAGCTGTGAGGAGGAATGTAGTAAGAGATAAATTAGAAAAATAAAGTTAGAGTGAGAATTTAGAAAGCTTTGTAAGTCAGACTGGTGAGTTTGGAATTTAACTTCCATGTGAAATATAACAACTAGCCTCAATTTGCAGATGAAAGAAGGGTATTTGGGGTCAGCCCGTTTCCTGTCTCCAATGGAAGTCTAATGATGAGTTTCTAGTCACAACAGAGAAATACACAGAGCCCAGGACTATAAACCTATCCAACATAGAAGCCCAGAGATAACACCTCTCTCCAAACACATTTAAAATATAATTTGATTGTCCAGGTATTTCACTTAGACATATGTACATTCTTTGAAAAAATATAGATTCCTCTCTAATAGCAACACAATATCCAGAAAAGAGAAAACCACTAATCAAGCTTGTGTAATTCTACTGGATGCTCCTATCCTCAGGATAGTGCAAATCTGATGGATTAACACAGCCTAATAGATTTACAGCCTTTACAAAACTCTATGGGATGTTTCTGGTGTGAAAATCAGCAATTTTAAATTCTGGTGAGCAGCGAATATTGTTTGGGCAGACTTTTTAATATTTCTGGTCCTCAGAAACCTAATCTTTTCCCATTTGGGGGTGACAGTGACCTTAAATCAACTATTCACAATCCGCTGGCAAGTGAAATCAAAATATATGCTTAGACAACCTTTTTTGCACATCTTCACAGAGGGGGGAAAAATAATAAAAGGAGTTTTCTGCCCAGAATATAAACTATACTGAGTATTACTCTTGGCCTGCCTAGACATTTCCGGTGCTAAACTCCACTAGGGGAGTAAGGCAAAGCTGCCGTGCACATGGAGGAAAATCAATTTCATAAGAGATATATCTTTATGTGTCATGATCCAGTGTATGATTTTGGCCTTTGATGTCTATTTAGCTGGCAGCAAATTTACAGCCATAAGTTTTAATTCCCAGCAATGAGTGCAGCAAAAATAACTTAACAGTTAAACAGGAACCTTGTGCTCATTGGGTGACTGTAATCAACTGCTAGGAATGACCTTGAAATTGGACAGTCCTCCCTGCTTAAGCGCTATTAGCAATATTTTTCAGAAATTGAACCATTTAGTTGGTTGGCAAAAAAATAAAATAAAATAAAATACCGATAAAAATCTATTCTTGGCTACTCTCTAAATTGCACTGCACTGTCTGTTCGCCAGCTGAGGGTGAAGAGCATTGTATATTAAAAGATTTTCATTGTGTAATAATGTGAATACCAGCAGCGGTAATTATAAAATCAATAATTCGTAATAAATATGTCCTCCTTATATAATTACTAAATGATTGCAAAACCAATATTACACACTCGTTAGAATGGAAAAGGTTGCCGTTAAAGACTTTCTATATTACACATTATTGTTCAAATCTTAAACACCCTTGGTCAAATGAAGCAAAGCTTCGTCCTCATCAGAATGAAACTAAATGCTGTTTCTTTTCAAGCTATTAAAATATATTCGATTCATGGTGAAACTCTTAGGTTAAAATGCCCGTCTTCAACATGACTATATACAGTGCCTTTATTGCCTCCTTTGTTTTGTGTTGGATCCTGTTGTGATTTTTACCTCAGTAAAGGTATGCTTAGGTATCCATATTCAGCTGCTTCAGGAATTCATCTAATTGCCATTTCTCACGTCTCAAAAAAGCCAAACCCATGGAGAAAATTTCATCAGGCCTTACATTTCATTCACTGCACAAGGGAGCATGTTCCTTTTGGGAGAAAGTCACCCGAGTTCCCTTTCTGGAAAGGCAAAGTTGTGTTTCTGGTCTTTGATTGCATCACTTCTGAACTGTCCGTGACCCTGTGAGGTTACTTAGAAGGGTCACCACTGTTTGTTTACTGCTGGCCTATTAACACGCCAGGGCTGAGCACTCGCCAGAGACACCGCGCACGGTGGGACACAATGCCTTCGGCATCAGAAGCCTTGGAGTTTAGTCCGCTAACCCTGTGCATTTGTCTTGTAATTCCTCAGGGGTATTTAATGTGTGCATTGTTAAATTCCTTCTGTATTTGCAGCCAGCCCTGTGCTGGGAAACAAGAGAGAGGAAAAGAGAAGAAAAAAGGACAAAGTGTGGTTCTTAGCTTTATGCAGTTTGTATCTAATTGAGACCCTAAGCATTTTGGGAATATTCTAGAGGAAATAATTTTTATGTCACACAGACTGTGATGGTAGACTTAATTCTTATGAAGGGAATATTGATTAGCTCACCTGATAAGAAACTTTTGGATGTGACAGAAAAATCTGATTGGTGTTTACTGGGCTAATGTCAAAATCAAAATGAATCTCATATATATCACAGACTCCATCTTTCTGAAGCCTATTTCTCTGACCCCTCAGCCCTAACTGGATAGCTCAACTTCCTGACCTGCCACAGGACAGAATGGTCATCAGTCCTGCCTAGTATTTTTCTCTTTTCACTTTACCTATTGTGTTAATCAGAGTTCTCCAGAGAAACAAAACCAGCAGGGTGTGTGTGTATGTGTGTGTGTAGTTGGAGAGAGAGATTTCTTTGAAGGAATTGGCTTGCACTATTGTGGAGTCAGGAAGTCCAAATCTGAAGGGTAGGCAGGTAGGCTGCAGATCCAGAGAAAAGCTGCTATTGCAGCTCAAGTTCAATGGCACTTTGGAGGCAAAATTTCCTCCTCCTTAGGGGACCCCAAGTAAGCAGTAAGAATAGTGTCTCTAATGTATTTACTTTTATAAAACTTAGAATATTTTGCATCTGGGCATTATTTAGTTGTCAAAAGAGCCAGAGAAGGTAGTTTTAGAAAAGAGACTCAGAGATGCAAAGACATTCAGTAAACATCTAACCCTTGTTATACAATTATTTTATTATCAGTGGATGCCCCCCTTACTTGTGACAGCCCCCACTTCTACCAACACCTTCTGTTTCTCTGTGCCCAGCAAGGAAGCCGGAGATGCCGTTGTATTGCCTCCTTAATGACCATGTCCCCTAGGGTGAGAACCCAAGGCGGATAGTGTCCCAGGCTCAACCATTATGGGTTTCTACAAACAGACCCTGAGGAGAGCAAAAACAACACCCGTTTCTCATTGCACAAGAAAATTAATTATAAAATATGCAAAGCAATTTTGTGTCACATATTTTTATATTAATTGGGTACACTATTAAATTATGTTCTATGATGGTAATAATAATCACCACAGTTTATAAAGATGTGTTTTTGTAATGTTAGGTACTCAGTTATTTGCTTTATATACATGATCACATTTTATCCCAACATAATCTGAAGTTGTTATTATCACCACTTTATGGATGAGAAAACTGAGACAAGAGATTTTGGAGAAGTCTCCCATATACTATAGTTAGTAGTAGGGGGAAACTGGCTTCTGAATGCAGAACTCAAGCTCCTGTCTTCTGTCTTTGAAGCCCCACTATGCTATCTATCTAACAAAAATGTAATGTACTGAACTGTGTTCCCCCCAAATTCATATATTGAAGCCCTTACCCCCAACATGATTACACTTAGAGATAAGACCTTTAAAGCGGTCACTGATGTTAAATAAGGTCACATGGGCCAGCCCTACCCCCATGTATGACTGGCGTACTTATGAGAAGATGAAGAGACACCAGGAATATGTACACACAGAGAAAGGGCCATGTGAGGATACAGCAAGAAGGTGGCAATCTGCACACCAAGGACAGAGGCCTCAGGAGAAACCAAACCTGCCAACATCATGATCTTGGACTCTCAGCCTCCAGAACACTGAGAAAATATGTTTTTGTGT